AGGTTTTTCTTAGATTTTATCTTTTTATCTTCTGATTGATATAAAAAAATGAACTTTAGTCAACTGCACTAAGATTACTTTTTTAAGTCGACTTTTCTCTTTGATATTTGTTAGGATTATTTTTAAGCTTAGTTTTTGATTTATTAATTGTTAATTTAATTCCGATCAAGTTTTGAATAATACATTGTTTGAATACTTAATCACAAATGCTATTTCAAATTCATGATTTATGAGGGTACACGTGTCATGTATTAAATTCGTGAATGTGATTATTGTCATCAGAGATTTAATAGACAAATTGCGCAATCTTAAGTACCTATCTAATCTTTTAACTTGTGCCATTAATTATAAATAAATCCTAGAAAATCTCTCTGTTTCGGTACTTTTTTCCGAAATTATTTTATTTTGTTAGGAAACAGCTTTCTGAACTTTCCATGGAAGATAAATGGACGAAGAATTTTTTGTACCTTTCATTTAGTCTCTTTCCTAAGAGTTGCTATTCCTGTTAGTGATTTAATTATTGTTAACAAGTATGAGATGTGATAAGATCAGCTAAGGAAACGAAGTGTTTTTAATTGACTAAGCTGCGGGATGTGAACCAGGGGCTATTAAATTCAATTTGTTTCATTTATGCAAGTGTTTTTTCTAAATATTCAATAGAAGCAAAATTATTATAATCAGAAGTCATTTTGATAAAAAGCGACATAAATTTGGCAATTTCGAATCGGCTTATTTCTTACCCAAAATTATAGTTAAATGAAATCCTAACCATCTTTGTAGGTATCCGATAGTCTCGAAGTCTGTCATTATGTTCATCAATTTCCATACATTTACACCTGCTTGACCACAAAATTCCAATGTTCGGCTTCAAGCTTTTTATTTTTATCGGATCATCGGAAAAAAGTCAAATTTTAACGCACTATTTTAGTGCTAGTGATGGAATTCTCCTTCGCAACGACTCGTATGGTAGCCATAAAATCAACACTCCTTAATTAATGCGATTCATTGCATTGTCTTTCTTCGTTGATTGGTTTATGCAATAACATTTGCGGAAGGAGGAGTTGCTAATTCTGGCCACACACAAAACAATAAATGGTTTCTAAATACGATACTCAAGTCTACCATGCCGAAGGAAATATTCCTAGCCAAATGTTTACAGGCTTATAAGTAATAATAACAATAATAATAATTATTAATCGTATCATCTAAAATATCTAAATCTATGTAATCGTAAACATAACGTTTTTATTAAATTTAGTAGATGTAATAATAGCACGGATTATTCTTTTTTTCTTATCGAAGAGCAGTTATGAGAAAATATTTTACAAATTTTTATGCAATCCAAATCGATAAAATATTTTTCACTGATATCTTACATCTATGTCAGAATCTGTTGCCAGAGGTTTCGTGAAAAGTGCACCGAAAAAACCATTAAAAACATGGATTTTTGTAATTCTTGGTTTTGGTGAGTGCTTTTGCTTGGAGATTTTAAATGTTATTTATTATAAGTAAAACTACTTATTTAAGATTTCTTTGAATTTCCTTAAATTATCCTAAATTATTTAATAAAATATTATATTTTTAAGACTATGTAAAAATTGGGAAATTTAGTCATTTATAAAAAATATGTATAAATAATTGCAAACAGAACAAGAAGTCAAATTTATATACAGGAATTTAATTGGGAGTGGACTGATGGCGCCGTCAGTAGTGACTAAATGACTAAGTTTCCACGAATCGGAAATTGACAAATTTTTCAGATAATAAACCTCACAATAGTGTACTCGTACAGTATACAGGTACACCGATAATAATTATCGTGAATAAATAATATTCATGAAACAAAATAATAAAAATAACGGCCCATCACAATGTCACAAGTTGGTGTTAGCCACATTAAAAAATACGTGTGCTGCGATTATATAACAATTATTATTTCTTAACTTTATTTACTTTAGGACGAGGCTGACGAACTCAAGATAAAGCATTTTTTTTTATTTTTACCTTTTGACGATAACACTGAATACTTTTACTAGCCTATGATCTGCAACAGACAACTCTGCGATTATGCACCGATAAAATTTGATTTTTTGACAAAGCTCTATAAATCTTGGCGAACCTGGGTCGACGTCAAGTGACAGACCACCTTGAAGAAGATGTTCTTCGAGCAGACAACGGGCAACCCGCCGAGTGACAGCTGTCGGATCTTATGTTCTTCAGTTTGCGTCGCGATTACTACGTCCTTCTTGTTCGTAAAACATTGAATTTTATGGCGAAAATGGCGCACTGTAGTGTTAAAAATGCAGACAGGCGTTGTTCCCGGAATAATGAAAAAGAAATCGACGACTCATGGAGTTTAACGAGGAAGTGTTGAGACTTGGTTAGGCTGTGATTTGTTTTGCATGCAGTTTTGAAAATTTCCGAGAATGCAACTTCCGTTTAATATCTTGATTGGTTGATCATCACTAAAACGTTTGCTGATACGATTCCAAATTTAGATTTTATTATTTAATGTCTAATGTTAAAATACCTGGAATTTGCGAATTTTGCGAAAAAATGTCCAAGTTCAAATAATTATTTTTAGTTTCTGAGTCAAGCAGTTGATTTCAAATCTCTTCCGATTTGTATTATCATCGAAGTAATCGCATTTTTCACATACATACCTACTAAAACCCTTAACAGGAATATTAGAAAAAAGCAAAATCATTAATTGATTTTAAGTGTAAATTGATAACAAAACATATCTGTACAAAAATCAACATACCAAAACTTAATTTACTTGAATTTAGAATTTGCACATAGGTACGACAAGCGTTATTAAACAAATACCTTTATTTTGTTATTTCTTTTTGATTGTTATCAGTATTCAGCATCATCAATTATTATCAATATGACAAGTAAATTCTCTCTACTTATACATGTGCTATTATTGGAAACGATCTATTTTCTCATTATTTAGTGTTATTTAAAAAAATTAATATCATAAAATTACTGAAACAGAAGTCTCTAAAAGTTTTACGGATTTATGGGTTCGGTGACAGACACCGATCGCATCAAAGTCGGGACCTTATTGTGAATTCATGATACAACATGAAAAATACACGCCATAAATCCTCACTCTGCAGCTAATTTTCGGTTTGACTATTATAGGAGTTGTTAAAAGAATCAAAAGGAAGAGAAATTGGTTTTGTAGCGAGGTTTTCAGAATTGATAAAGACAATGTAATCAATCTGTGGACAAATGGACTGACTTAATGCAATTTTATTTTTATCGATCCCAGGAAAAGACAATAACTGCGGCCGGAAAGAAGAAATGTATTATAAATTCAATAAACACGTTAATCATTTTAGAATTACTATTACTTTATATCATCTTGAATATGGAGAAATTTTTAAACTAAATTTAATTTAATCTAAAACAGGTAGGTATGTGTTTCTAAAATTGGAAATTTTGGGTCTTGGCAAAAAAAGTTTATGAAAAGCATTATTATAACACAACGTTTTGCGTATAATGTGTATTTAGCGTATATTTTTTATGAAACATATTATTTTCTCCTTACATTTATTATTATCGCCCTATTTTTAATTTTGTTAATGGTCATTGTTTATGTTATGTGTGGATGATAGTTTTATTAGTATTTCATTATTTTTAAGGTGCAATTATTATTTTACTATGCTTTTATTATTTTTCATCTATTATTAAAGTGTATTAAAGTGTGTCGGATCACGCGCCCCAGAGAAAAATTTCGAGTAAGATAAGATACCAGGAACATGGAAAAAATGGCTACAAAATTCTATTTGTAAAAACATTTTGACACATATTTTTTGACATTTGACTTTTTTATGTCTATTTAATGATACTGATGATCTTCTATATGTTTTTTATAATTATTTAGTAAAAGTACAAAAATTTTGCCAATAAAAGCCCCAAATAACATTAAACAGAGTTACAATTTAGGATACAAATTCCTTGTTTTTTCTTCTAATAGCCTATAGCAAAAAAACTTAAAAATTTATTTTTCCACCATGTAGAAGAAATAAATAGAATCAAAGTGCAAAATATAAACTCTCGTAACTTCGAAATTTTTATAGATAGACTTTTTTTTAACATGTTGGCCATGTTTCTGATATCTCATCTTACATGGCATTTTTCTCTGGGGCGCGAGTTCTGGCGCACTCTGTATAATACTTTTACTGAAATTCACTATTTTTATTGAAAAAAATACTTGACGTTTAAGTGCAATACCGTCCATTTTATTTGTATCTTTATTATTTTAGAGTCTATCTTTTTGAAAATCGTAAATTTAAAAATGAGTCAAATGTTCATAACTTACTATAACTGGATGGAAAAACGATTTATATAGACGCCATTGACAATTTTTGTAATAATTTTATTTAAAGTCTCAACAAGTTTGGCTCATATTAAAAAAATTATCAATCGAACAACCACAAAAGTATCAATGAATTTTCTTTAGTTTAATGTTTACGAATTTTGTGTTCAATTTTCTAAAATGTCTTTTTAGATAAGACAATGTAGCCGCCAGTGTAATTTGTTCAAATTTTTGCTCTTGATAACATCTCAGAATCAGAATTTATTGATGATGGTTTTGCGATAGCGATCAGTGTAATAAGCGACAAATTTAACTTTGTCGTAACTTTGATTTTAAGAACCACTAAGTATCGAGAATAAGCTGAATCTCAATGTATTTAAGATTATTTTATGAGAGGTCATTAAAATGCAAAGCCTATCAAGATAATAATTACAAGATCAGAGAAGTACGACCAGAATGGTTGATTAGAACGGCTCAAATTGAGCGGGAAAAAATATTTGCTCATGTGAATTTCCTAATGAGCGCTAAAAATAAAGCGATAGCAGTTTAAACGTTTAGTGCGTACTATCGCGGCAGAGATTAGCTTAATCTCAAATTATTCCAACTCGAAGACCAACCGAGTGAACATTGGCCACAGTGAACTGAACCCGTTTTGCGTCAAAAAACCTAAAGTAAACAAAAATATTTCTATTGGGGAATTTCTCCGGTGTGAAAGATAAGGTTATAGACCTCATCCCAATTGTTTTTTAATCGTAAATGCAGCTATCTCATCTTTGAAATCAACTTAGAAAAGATAATTTGGAGACTTTTGCGCAACCGCTCTGAGAGATGGGGTAGTAGAGTAGGACGGATAGTGAGTGGGGAGGAATGGTACTCGCGACCCATTGTGTTATCAGAGTCTAAGCGGTAAGCAGTGATTGTTAAAGCCAAGCGAATAGTCGCTTATCCGTGGTCTCCATGTGCGCCAAACTCAAATCCGACGCCGCAGTGGCCTTTCGACGTCCCGACGCCCGTCTTGTGCTCTCTCAGTGACTTGTGCGCTCGAAGCTTTCGGTTGGTTAATCCTGGACTAAGTGCAGTGCGGCGACTAAGTTGTCGAAGTTCAGGACTTAAAGTGATTTTAGGATGTGTTTGGGTGATGCTCAACGCGGCACCACTCGCCTCTGACCTACTGGATGCACCCTAATGTGTATAAGTGAGTACGCGCTATTTACCGGAAAATTCGTACCTCGACCATCAATCACCACTGACGTATCTATTTTCACATCGGGATTAATCCACAATAGGTGCACGATTTTTATTTCGGGCGACTATTATTGTTATCTGACTTTTAACTTGGCTAAATTGAGCGTGAAATTTTTTCATGTTGATCGATCGGATTTCAAAGATCATCAATGAAATATTCACGCTGGAGCAGCGCTTATCATTGTTATTTTATTTCGCTTTTATCAATAAATTGACAGACTGTTTGTTTTTAATTAGCAATTTGGAACACATGATGTTTTTAAAAATGTTTATCGCAAGAATGTACATCACCTTAAATAAATGACTCACAGAATACATTTTCGTTTTGATTTTGCATACCTCTAAATTGGATTTATATTTTAGTGCTTTTATCTGAATAAATTAATTAATTTGCTTCCATTGTTAGTATTTTTATTTTGTAGATTACATATTTTTCAATTTATTTGTATTTAGTTTGATTTTTATCAAAATTCTATGAAATTGTTTAATTTTATACGTTTCAAGAGGATTTTGAAATAGATAGGAATTTTCACACGCGAAATTTATTGTCTGCAATTTTATATTGTATCAAGCGTTATCAGTTTCTATTTGTAAAATTACTTTTGTAATTTCCTAATGTACGTATGTACATTTATCTATCTCTTTAAATTCCGGAACAACAATATTAGACATTGTTTTTAATATTTATTTAATCGTCATTTTATAAGGATTTATAGGGTTAAATTTTACCGAATAATGTCTTATTCTGCACATTTTTTTAAAGATTACGTTTTTGGTGACTACTAAACGATTATTTTTGATTAATAAGAAATGTTTGTGAAATATTTTTTTAATGGATATAAATTTTGAATTTGAAGTTATTATTAAAATTTAAAATGTAATGTAAAATGTAACTAAAAATTGCAAAATAAATAAATCTGTCTATTTCATCAAGACCGTATTTACACCTGAACTGTATTTTTACCTGAAATCTCAAATTAACAATTAGAGAACCAAATGTGGAGGTATCCGGGTACTACATAAGTATGTACAATAGCTATTACATATGTAATAAAATAATTTCTGTTATTACATCTGTAACTTTATGACAACGCTATTAAAGAGTACTCGTTAGGGTGCTGAAATGGCCGTTAAAGCAATCTTTTCAGTACATATGCATTTTTTGTAAACAGTGTTGAAGTAGGCACGAATTTCTAAAAACTATATTTTTAGAATGAGTTTCACAAATTTTTGGAGGTTGATCATTAATTTTTTCACTCTTTTCAAATTTCTTGGAAATCGTCAATAAAAAACTCATTTCAACGTTTTTTTTTATTTTTGACCCAAACCGTTAAATTGCCTTATTTTCGAAAACTATTTTTTTTTGTACTAACTTACGAAATTAGTTTTAAATGATACAAAGTGGTTATAAATGATTTTCATCTAGCCAGCTGTGAATTTTCCATGTAAAATAAAAATGCCGCTTTACGAAAATAGGGGTACCTACTTGTTTTAACTCAAAATTAAAAAATCGCCGTTTAGTAAGCGTCCACTTCGAAAATAGACTTCAATTATAAACTTGTTTTCTTCCAAAATATACATTATTATTAATTATTATTGGAAATTAGTTGAAACAATAAAAGTTTAATTAACAACAATTTATTATTAATTAATAAGTGACACTAATGACAGAAGTAGAACTTTCAAAAAAGTAGAGCGGCATAAATAAAGTTACATGCAAAAAAATTCCAAAGCTGGCTAGATGAAAACCATTTATAACCACTCTGTATTTTCATTATATGCTTCGGTTTTAAAAATTGTTGTGAAAAGTATTGGAGAGAATTTTGAGGACAATTTGAGCTTGAAATATTGCTTTCACGCCTCAGGAAGTACTTAATTTTTTAATCCACCTACTGTTAATTTACGTGTTGTGTACCGTTTGGTATGTAGCATTTTTGGAATAAAAGATCTTGCCATAAACAAATAAAAATAATTTATCGTCGTGGGAACTGCATAATCGATACCCCACGCACGCCAGACCTGAGCCTAATGGAATTACCATAGTTTTTAAGTTTTTGGCATCTTTATGTCCGAAAATAATGTCGGTTTTGTTGATGAGCGCCACTCAGGGTGGCTAGAGAATAATTTTATTTATTAAAGCCTGTCGACCCTTGTCGCAACTAATTTCCACCAGCAGCAGTAGTAAAACGGGAGTGCGTGGATGATGGTGTTGTCGACCTGAACACTAACCGTCGCCTGGTAACGCTTGCTTTATGAAGAATGTGTCGATAAACAATCAGATTCCTACGACTTACACATGCAATTATACTCCAGTCTGCAACACATAAAACTGAAACTCTCATTGTTTCCATCGCGGAGAGAAATACCGGCCCCGACACGCATTTTATTAATAACAATTGCAATTTTTCATTGTCCAAACATGGCTGCTTCTTAACGGCCAATCACGGGAAAAATCGCATTGTTAACATGATTCTTCGTGAGAAATCTAATAAAATCCGGTCACGCTCACACCAGAATCAACTAATAAAACAATTAATGTTCTGATCAAAATTCAATACGTGCCTCGCAAAAAAGACTTTTTGGTCAAGTCGGCGACTTCAAAGAATTGTGCTTTTCTATTAATTTTGACGTTTACGAGGAAAATTATTACGCTGTCCCAAATTTCGAAAGTTGGGAAGATAACCGGACGGCCTGTATGTGACCCTGAAAGCAACTTAATATGTCAATAATAATAATTGATACGAAAAATAACAGCGAGTTCCTCGTTTCTCTGTAAATTACCAACACTAACCAAGCGACAAATAATGATTCTTATCCGCGACAAGGACAGTAAAATTCAGTTGTGTTTATTAATTTTTTCGTGTTTGGCTCATTTGAGACCGTTCCAAGGTGTATATTAATAAAATTTATGACGTACTCTCTAAATAAAATATAAAAGTTAAAAGCTTCATTCAACAGAGCTGCCTAAAATTTCTAGTTTTATTGTCCTTTGATATATTTTATGGATCGAGAAATTTATAGGATACATTACTTAATAATTCTGTTTATGGTAGATTTAAATGATTTAAAAAGACACAATTAAGACACAACGATAGAAAAGAAATACCTCTGATGCAAAAATGTCCAAAATTAAAATTGTTAGCATATTTGGTAAAGTCACGACCTTGGCAAACCAACCGGTGAAAAAATGTATCTAAATGTATGACGCAATTAAAATAATCACTGATTTAATGCTTAATTCCGTACTTTAAAAATGCTATAAATTATCTCTTAGATGTAGACCAAACACGCAACAGGTAATTTCTAAAAATAATAATTATTTCAGCAAAAATTAAACAGTTTCTAATTGGTATTATCATAAGCCCGAAATAGGGATTACGTTATCTTACACTATTTGAAAAAATTCAGCAAAAATAACGAATGTTTGCAATTAAAAATGCAAAAGGCATGTAAACAACAATAACTAGGAACTCCTTTTAATAAAATTTCTAATACACTAACTTAATCTTTAATATTCATTTCGCTTTTTCTTCTTCGAGGTCAGTAATGAACAAGTTAATTTGCGTATTACGCCCATTGCACCATTTGTCTTCCAGGTGTATAACGAGAATCTTTCTCTTATTCACTTAACTCGCGCATTCATTTAAATACTTAATTAAGGATACACCCTTGCACCAATGGAAGTCGAACCGAGAGATGTTATCGGACGATTATGCATCCAATTCGTCTGAAATCGAATTTAGCCAGGATTTACAATGTTGATAATGTTGTTTTTATACACAGGCTTTTTGCTTTTTTAAGCATCAATCCATTACTGATTTTTCGAAAAAATAACGTTTTTATTGGCACTAAAGTGAATTTTAATAAATATATTAAATTGTGCAAATTATCATAATATTGGTAGTGGTCAAAACAAACACTGAATTTTTTTTTTAAGAATAAAGACTTAATACTGTGAAAATCTTTGATATGAACATTTTAATTTTAAATTCTTAAAGTTTTTATTTTTTCTATTTTCAGTCATTGTAGAATGAAAGTGTGTGTTATGCTATAAGTTTTTAATCTTGATTAAAGTTTCGATTATTATCTCGTAATTTTCTAGATAGGTGTACTAGATTTTAATGTCGGGCTATTTTTCTTGAGCTTTCAGTGTCGTAAATTATCTTTGGCCTAAATTTCTGAAAGCCATTGCGTGTGAAGCGTTGACGATAGAATATTTAATTATTGTGTGTATGTCTCAATTCAGTTAGTTGTAATTTGTCGCGCATTTGTACAACTATCTTTAGTGATAAAGTGAGTATAACTAAGTGGTGACCATAAATTACTGTCGTTATCGTATTAACTACTGAAAATGCTTTATAATGTATTCAAATGAAGAGTAAAGCTGACGGCTTTTTAAGTGATGGCCGAAAGCTCCTGGCTAAACCATTACGTGATTCTGGATCACAAATCAAAGAAAAATCGCCTCGGATTCGACCATTGACGTATCAATTTGTTAAGACTGGGACGATATAATTTATTTTTTATAACGAATAAACATGCCATATCGAATTTGTTGTTTGTTAAGATAATCGTTAACGATCACGCTGTGTTTTATTAATTTCGAACAGCACCACTATTCCTGACGTCATTTTTATTCCATCGTGTATAAATTTGAAAACTCCATATTCGATTAATTCAATGATAAATCGCCACTAATCTATTTATGTTAATTGATATTAATGATGTGCGTAATAATCATAACATATCACTCAGATTTATTACTCTCATTTATTACTTCTTTGCAAAGTAGGGTGATTTTCCTCCTTCCAACTACAAGTTAGAGGTTACTCTCCTTGACCTGCAACACTAAAAAAACTGCCATTGCGCCCCACAGCGTTTAAGGAGGCAACATGGAAAATATGTGAAATCTCTGTGAAGGAATGTAAAGTCGAGTAAAAACAAGATTTT